AAAAAAAAAAAAAAAAACAGAATTATGATAGTTATGTTGAGATGGTGGAGAGGAAGTGAAGGAGGTTGCATAGGACTGTTCAGGAGAATCTATCATTACCATGGTGGAAAATTCATAAATAAGATCTAAAATAGATAAATCAGGAAATGGTAGTATACATAATAAAAGAAATGAAAAAAATTATGTTGGAACTTCCATTTATGTATTTATGACAAACAAAGCTTACTCACTGAAACAAAATTGCTGGTATAGATTTTTTTTTTTAAATGGGGCCTCACTCTGTCACCCAGGCCGGAGTACAGTGGCATGATTATAGATCACTGCAGCCTTGAATTCCTGAGCTTGAGGGATCTTCTGGCTCAACCTCCCAAGTGGCAGGAATTACAGGCACGTGGCACCACACCCAGCTAATTTTTAAAAATATTTTTTGTAGAGCCAGGGATCTCTCTATGTTGCTCAGGCTGGTCTCGATTCTCTTGCCTTAGCCTCCCAAGGCACTGGGATTATAGGTGTGAGCCACTGCACACAGCCTGGAATAGATTTTTAAATCAACCTATTGAGGTATAATTTATATATTAACCAAATCCACTTACATAGTACAGTTCAATGACATTTCACATATGTATATACCCACGTAACCATCACAATTCAGGTATAGAATATTTCCACCACTCGAGAAGGTTTCCTTGTGCTTTGTCTAGTCAATCATGGGCCTCTCTCCAAACTCAACACCTACCCAAAACAAGAAAAAGAAATAAGGAAAAAACCAGAAAACCTGGTTCTGGACAACCATTGATTTGCTTTAGATGTCTTTTTTGGATTTTCATATAAATTGAATAATATGATCTGTATGTTTTGGTGTCTGGCTTCTCTCAGCACGTTTTTGAAATTCATCCGTGTTTATGTGCAATAGTAATTATTCTTTTCTTTCCCTCAAGAAGTAGTCCATTGTATGGATATGCCTCAATTTATCTATTTACCATGAACAGGTAATCAAGGTACCATGGTATCATAAACATTGTTCATGGAAATTTGGATTATTTTCAGTTTTCTGTTGTTATGAATAAAGCTGCTATGAAGGCCGGGCGTGGTGGCTCACGCCTGTAATCCTAGCTCTCTGGGAGGCCGAGGC